CAAGCATTTTCATCCTCTGCTGTACGAGGAAATGTCATTATAAGAACCGTGCCAAAATGACACGTCGTCCCGTTTCATTAATTTCGCAGAACCTTATGCTACTTGAAGTTCTTAACCGAAAACAGGGTTGTTGTTATTTTAGTACAACTGTTGTAGTATTTACGGGAAAAAAAGCTTTTTTTCATAACTCGCAATCATTTTAAGGCTTAATCTGTTTAACAATCGACCTTGTGTGGCTAAAGTCAGCTGTATGGGAATGTAGCACTACCTTATGTGCCGCTTTCGGGTTAGTTGGGAAAACCGAATTTAATCACAGTGACAGATAAATCCCCAGGTCTTCAATGAAGTATAACTTATATCCGCTTCGCGAAGGTTCAACACACTAATTATAGCGAAAACTTTGCATACTTGCCTCCAAACTGCATGAAAATTCGGTTTAATTCCTAAACAAGGACAGGACAAATCCGTCTGCCGCATCCAAATTCGCCGGATCACACGAGACACGGGTGCCTAGGAGTTTGCTTATGAAGTTCTATTTATGAAACTAACGATATCAATATAGGCACTTGTGATTGGCTTAAATTTAACTGTATGCAGCCCTTGATGACAATAAATGGGAATTATTTTGCGGAGCCCCATTGCAAATTATTTTCTGTTCGCGATGCATCTTCAATTCTTATTTATTCCTACCTTGTTTTCGTTCGTTTCCTTTGGAAATACTCAGATCTACTTTAATGTTTCTTCAAGAATTAAAAATGGTTAATAAACTTGACGATGCCAGATATTTGATTAAAAAGACAGACGATGCCCTTTTATGGCTTTCATTTTCGAATTTTTGTGAATTTTATGAACGAAAATCTCTTACTCGTCTTGAAGTATTAAATGAGGGAAAATCAGTAAAATCCTGATTTAGTTGAAGGCAGCACCACCAATTACCATTTAAAAATTAACTCGCCAGGATACTGGTCTAAGTTCCAGAAAATTTCGGGGATAGGTCCCAAAGGTCTTAGGGATTATTCAAGCTTGTCTCCCACCAGGAACACCAAGGGGAACCGTATAGGTAGGACTCAAACCCAGTTGATGAAGATTTTGACGGAAATATTAACGCGTGTCGCCGTCAGACAGAAGTGTGAAGGCCAACAGAAAATTGCTTAGAATGGGTGGTGGTGACGCACCAGGAAACATACACTTGAAAACTGAGACCTGTCCAAGATTCGGAGACCTCTTTTTAAAAAACCCAGAAGGAAAGTCTTAATTGACACACCTTTGCTGATACTGGGGGGTCCTAGGTACTGAGACTTTTGCTTCGCCAGTGACCCAGCCAGTGTCACATATGCCTGTTGCTGAGTTTTGGTCAAGAATGATTGGAAACATTCAGCGAATACTAACATCCCTCACTCTCGAGCCTGGGTATAGCGTGATAGAAACGTTAGTCAAAAGATGTATAGGTTAATTAAGGAATATGAGGATTAGTATTCAAGCACACTCAATAAAAATGGAAATTAAGATTTCCTGATTTGCTCGAAATGCAAGCGAAAGATTGTGTCACCCAAATCAGTTACGAAAACAATCCACGGACAACCCATTTTTTCAAATATTACTCCGATGTCTACAATATATTTACCATTTAAACATCTGTTTTCTATAAGCGAAATAGAGGTTTGCTTCCGAATTCAAAATCGTCTTTTAATTCCGCATATGAAGAAGCACTTGACAAATTGAACATACTTGTGTTTGTATCAGTGGCAGCAACAGACACTTTGTCACCACGGTGTTCTTTATTTGCAACAGTTGCTAGAACGTTAAATAATTTGGCCTTTTTTAACCGCCCCCCCTCCGACCTCAGTCTATTTTGCACATGCTCCGATTGACAGGCACAGGTTGTCGAAGCACATCAGCTAATCCAACTTCTTCCTGCCGTCAATCATAGAATTAAAACAGCCTGGCAACTGTCCCTTTGACAGGAGATCTTTGAAAACTTCACCTCCATCACAGAGAATGAATGATGCAGCTCACCCACAGAGCCACAAACGCGGAATCGAAACGAAGAAGGCTTGTAATAAGCTGCACTAAGTAGAGATTACATCACCCAACTAATTGTATTCAGAATGCACATTCCCAGGGGATGCCATATTTGATTATTTTGGAAGTCATTATGAAGACATTTGGGTAGGTTGATAAAAGCTGTCAGAAAAATCAAACATGAACACAAGTTACACATACTTTTGTGCACTTGCCAAGGAAGTTTGTCAATTATAAATTTGAAAATTCCGAATTTCAATCTTTAAAGTGGGAACAAAATGGGTTTTCCATCTATTTACTTTTGCCTGAAATTATTTTTTATTAACAACTATTTCTTAAAACAATATTGTTTAGTGACCGATAACCAAGGCTTAAATTTACCTTGCATTTTAAGAATGTGTGTCTTTTTACATAAATTTATCAATTTGAAGGATTCAATTAACATATATCAGGAATGAAACTTTTATAGTATGGCCTAAAACCTAATAATAAAGTCATAAACCAAACTACATTACCAATTAATCGTCATGATCCCAAGTGTAAGCCAAAAGACTGAGTAGTATAAGTGAAAAGTGTTTTTGGATTATATTATTCTTGGTTATAAATGACGCATATCAAAAGAAAGGTAGTTTAAGTTATTTTTCAATCTTTTATTTGTTCCGATTAAGTGTGAATCAAATTAAAATTTCCATAACCTCAGTAGTTTTGAATTTTCAATGAAGAATGATAAATTCTTCTAAGGAGACAACAGTAGATAGGTTGACCTCGGGAAATTATTCCTCGTCAACAAGCCTGTTTTGCGCATGTTTGAGATCGGATCAATTGGGAAGCTGCAATTTTATATTGACGAGTATCGTCAAAGAATGAATGAAGACACAAACAGCTTAGGGTCCTAGTTACTGTCTGAATTATCAACAAACTTTGCATTTAGATGATAACATTAAACGCGGTGATATTTTATTACGCGATGATATTTTATTGCTCGAGCTTGACGTCAGGAGCTCATGTACTCCGAACCAAGAACCAGAGTTTATTTGAGCTACCCTAGGATGTGAACCAAAGGATCAAATTACTTGGGCCTATAGTGAATAGCTAAACTTTTTGCAAGCCAAATAGGAGTGTTGCACCTCACTTCCGTGAACTTACTTTTCTCGAGGAAACATTTACGAACGTTGAATCTTTGTATGACATCTCTAGAATCTGGTAAACGCCACCCCTAAGTTTTCAGAGTAGGTAAATGCCAGAAAGTGCTCTACTCTAATATTTATGGTCCCATTGCAATGTAGCTCCATTTGACGAAATTTGGAGAAGCATCCCCAAATTGACTGAGAGTTTATAGATGGCACCTCATCAGCTTAGGCAGAAGTTAAGAGGTACGGCGAAGTTCGCTAGCAAGCAAGCAGTGGCATTTCAGGGAATACAGGACATGTATTCCTAAATAAATTACGAAAATACATAATTCCACCTTGACTAACCACCTTGTATTTCTGCTCTTTTCTATTTAGGAATCAAACTTTATAATTATGGAAATATTATATCATCTATAAATGCCAATGACCACTAAGGTAAATAATAAACGTAAGTGAGACCTCCTATTATCAAAACACTCATTTTTAATCAAAATGGGGAGTGATGACAATAGAATATCAGCAAATTTAAGATTATACAATCTGGAGCCTACTCAGGACAACCATTCTTTTTATATGCATATTTATTGTCATCACGAGTTTATTTTAATTCATCACTGCAATTTTAACTGCCACCAACCCCACCCACTTAACCAGACTAATTAGCTCAATTCCCCTCAAGCAGTGATTAGCGGTCATTGTTGAAATGTGATTACTGTTCAACGCGGTCTCTTTAGGGAAGTGGAAATTAAGCCAAGTGATGGGGGAGAGAGAATGGTGGTTTGTGGGCACAGAGATCTCCTAGCGTTAACTCGATTATCCAATCAAACAAAGCCCAGACCTAATCGGATTCAGTATTGTGTGGTCTGCTAAACTAATAAGGTGCGTGCACGCGTGTGCTCTCAGTTTAAACTAAATGGAGTTGAACAAGCCAAATCCTCCTTCTGGCCAATTAAGTCGCTCTCAACAAGTGGCTGTGGAAAGAGAAATGGGTGGGGAAAGCCTCATTTTTAAAATGAACGAAATAAGTCTGTAATCCTGCAGTAATAAGACCTCCATCAATTTATCCGAAGGATTTTTTTCTAAATAAGACATTGTTTGTCAGCAAATCGTGAATGTCAGTGGCAATTAGGAATGCTGGTGTAGTGATAATCAGAAATAACTTGGTGTTCTCCTAAACACTTTATGAATACTTTAAATTTGCAACCATCGTTTAGTAATAATTAAACATAGCAATAATTGTATTGCTAAAACAGGAGCCCTTAACTTATTGCTCATGGCCAGTTTGCAGTAATTACATTAAAAAGTATAGTGGTTTCGCAAATGCTGGATACAATAAAGGTTTCGCGTCAGGTTTCACAAATCTTACCTAGAGCACTGCCGAGAGCGATACTGGCAAAATCTGTCTTGAACTTTGCTGTGTATTCCTTGTCACCTTGTGACCACACAACCACATATGCATTTTTTTAGACCTTTTAACTTATGGCGTTAGGATGCCTACCATTAATGCGGCCAATTTTTAAGGATTGAGGCTAAATACCCGAGTGACTGTGTGTGTGTGTGAGGTGCAGGTAAATCGCCGTGGCAAGACAAAAGGTCACTGCGAGTCATGCAGCTACTTGTTTCTATAATGCAAGATTGATTTCTGTTGACCAGAGGCTTTCCAAGACTCCAGGACTGGGACAAATATGTACCACGACAGTATTAACCAGTTGTCACAATATTTTTTTGTAGTGCCATACTCGTTGACTGCTCTCAAGCCACAACTGATCTCTCTGGTAAAGAATAAGATTCTCGTAAATTATTCAATTCTATCCGGAGGCCGAACAAAGTGAATTAGCGAACTTTCAGATGGCTGATGCTTCAGGTATAAAACTCAATGTCGCTTTGGGTGCAGGGACACCTAAAACAGTTTCTCCACTACCCACATCTCCTGAAGCTGGTACAGGAAATGCAGGTTGCATCTACTGTCTCGCCAAAGTTGGCCACCCGCGTTTAGGCAGAGGCGAATCTTACGCTTGTGGATACAAACCTTATCGTTGCGAAATCTGCAATTACTCAACTGTCACCAAGGGAAATCTCGCCATACATGAACAATCAGACAGACATCTCAATAACGTACAGGTATTTTTGCCGTTAATTTCAGTGTATTTAATATAATCATTGGAACCACGGTTCCCTAGATTTTGATTTAGTCCCCTTTGGATTTATTTTGCACAAACTAATATACGCAAGCGACATGGAGGAGGTTTATTTGATTCTTTAGGAATATGATCAGCAACAAAAACTAAATTGCAACCGAGAGGTAAATGAGCAAGGACCCCCGAATTCATCGATTGCCCACTCGGTCGCACACCGAATACTTCGTAGTTCTCCACTCACTCAATCGCCCGTAAGCACTTGGGTTCGGTCCCATTCTGCTCTCAATGACCCTCTGAATACAAACATCAGTAACACAAACGTAAATGGGGTCTGCAGTGTAAGTCTTCTCGAGGTAGCCGACCATCCCCTTGTCTGCCAGGTCTGTGGCGTCTTCTCGACAGATAGTGTAGAAGAATTGGTCAGACACGCAGAACAGAACCGGATTCCCCTGAATCTCGATTGCGCAAACCAGCAAGTGACTAGCCATTCGGATGGCGCCTGGCACTGCTTTCTGTGCGTCTACAGGAGTCCACTGAAGGCAAATTTTCAGCTGCACTGTAAGACGGAGAAGCACGCGCAGAGGTTGAGTCTTCTTCTGCACATATGGGAGGGCAGGGCTGGGGTGTCCCCCCCGCTCTCCACCAGCCCCTTTCTACTCTCCCCCCCAGCCAAAGGAAGTGCCTACAGCCAACTTCGTTGTCTGCCCTGTGACTTTTCTACATGCTCCGTGCACAGAATGCGCGTGCATTGTCAAATGCCAGCGCACATCCTCCTCGTTGAGGCATTTTCTGCTATTATGAGACATAGAGATCAGTTGACATCACTAACTACCACCAGTGACTGCGAGAGTATGGTGCCCAAGGCGAAGGTGATGTATACATGTCGCACGTGTGGGGTTACCCGCGCGTCAGTGATGGAGATAATTCATCATTTGCAGTCGACCAACCCATGTGTAAGTTTATGGCTTCTGGGGCCTATGGATCATCCTCACCTCATCATGATCAAAGCAAGGAAAAAAGAAAACTAAAGTCACGAAAAATTCCTGTGGTTTATGACCGCCCTTCCACCTGATATCCTGTTTTTACCTTTACAAATGGCAGTCATGGAATCAAGCGTAAAAGTACCTTCCCTCACAATGACTGACACTCAGGCCGAAGTCCATGATTAATGCGCCACAACTAATGTTAGAGTGCCACTTGGTAGCGAAGGATTTATGGATTACCAAAAGCTAACTGTTGTTTCAACGTCTGTTTCCCTGTGTCCAGATGTCAACAGCATTGCCAAATTAACACATAATTTATTGGACAATTTACGAACTTGGGTGAATTTTGCAGCCCTTTGGAATAATCTGAGGTCAAGTAGAAGACTCAGAAGAATGACATAAGTACCGGTCTGTAGTAACGAAATAATGCCAGAATGTAAAATTGAGTCATACCCATTAACTTGCACATTCGTTGAATTAAAGCCTTAAACTTCTGCGCCCACAACTATAAAGCTTAACTATAAAGACTCTGAAGATATTAGTCCATGTGCTGCAAACCTTTAGCGTCCCCTCGGCTTAAACGGCGTGAATGTGCTTTGGCAAACTGACCCTGAGAAGCCAGATGAAGCTCCTGACGGATGCAATGGAACACGAAACAATGCAACCACGTCAACGGACGCACCCAAGTTTTTCAGCTTAACAGAGAGTAAGTCGATTTTTGCTCAGTTCTAAATAAGACAAAATGATAAATCGATCATCAGATTAAAAGTGAACATAAAAGGCCTATCCGTTGTAGTACCTCACTATAGGCTAAGCAGCAAATGTTGCTGAGAGCATAACACACTCTCAGGGACATTGTGAAGTGACGAAATTAATAGTTTCGTTACTCATGTAATAGCATGAAGGAGCTACTTAGAGGTTTAATAAAATCAAGCCAATAATCACATATGTATGAGCAAACGGGAAAAATATATTGTAGATTTCATGGAGGTATACTGCTATTTTTGCATTAATTGCAAAACATGGGGTTTTCACCAACACACAGTTCTTCAAATATTCAGTCAATTCTGTATTTTTGTATTATCGGTTTGATAACCTGCACATGACTTGTTCCTAGAAACGCCAAATGTCGGACAGCAGCCACTGTCGGATTTTTACAATGGAACGTCGACTTTCTATCGGAATAAATTCAGAGTAAGTCCACATAATTTTATTCTGGTTTGAGCAATGTGCTACTTCCTGAGATCTCCTTTAATGAAATCTTTATCAGACGGCTAGACTTGCTTCGACACACAGCTCTTGAGCTCGGAACGTCTCTTGTTTGCAATAAAAGCTGAACATGTTTAAGACCATCCTTACTTTTAGCGGTTTGTTACTTGATAAAGTGATATGCGGGCAACAAATTGCGGAAGCAATGCAGCGTAAAGGAAATCCTGTAGTCATTGTATAAGGTGCATGCAAATGTCATGCAGTTGGAGTCCTGCGTAAAGAGACTGCTTGGTAAAATGGCCTCCTTTGTATGACCAATTTACACGCATTAATTTATCCATTAACAAAGCTAGTGAAAGAGCAAACAAGCGTTTTTTTTCGAATTCTAATACCTTAAAATTGGTGTCTTACTAAGATTTTTTGCAATTTTCCTCAACTCGCTTAGATTCTGGCTTTCCTTGCTAACAGGCTACGGTTATAATCACAGCACTGGCATTATTTTAGGTCCTTTGACAAGTAGGAAGGATTTTTGCTAACTCACATAGAAATAGCAGAAGTTGGGGGACCCTGACTTTGCAAACAATACTCGCACACTAAGCTATGGGTCCCTCGATAAGGTAGACACACCGTGATCCAATAAGTAAGAACAGCACAACAGTAGAAGCTTTGCTTTGAATTTTTAACTTGAAAAAGTTGTGAATTGAGTGTCACGGGATAAAGACCATGTGTAAATTCCCCTTACTTATTCTTCTGACCAAACCTTTAGCATTCCTAAGCTACGCCGAGAATTAATTAGGGTTCTGCAACTTATGCCCGTTGTCGTCTGTGAGAAGTCTGCTGCGTTGAGCCGCTCTCCCATAATTGTCTCTTAAAGAAGGTTTCATTAGGGCTCCCGGGCACCAACCAATTTGTTTCACGGATGATTAATGGCATTACTTCAAGACCCTAGACTTCCAGATTTTCCTTCAGATCGACGAAAGCTGTGCAAGCATAAGCGACTGGAAAAGCTTAAAGGTTGTTGAATTTTTTCCAGACATTGCTCTTTCAAACAAATCTTTACGTCTCTGGGTCGAAACTAGGCGTCAAGGTATACGGTTGCTAAAAAATATTCCATAGCCACAGTTTCCAAAAATTACATATTTATTTCGTGACCATTCAACGTCTTTTCCAGTTAATCAAGTCACGAACAGTGGATGTCTTCAACCACACGATGGTTCACGGTTTCTGACGTCACTGATATCTTCGTCGAATAGATGTAGTTGTACAAGATACGGTCTTTCCCAACCACAAATAGCGTAACTACGGGCAGATCTACACGTCTGAAAAATATGGTTGCCCTTCAAGCAACGTAGGCATAGGTTTCCCTCTTAAACAACAGTTGATTGGACAGAATGCTTACCATCTGTCTGAGGAATAATCCTTTCCGCAGATGGGACAGCGAGTCGAAACCGCGCGGTACATAAGTGCATACCTCGTTGACTCGCTCGCTTGCACCTTGATTTAGCGGCTGGTTCACTGAACTTTAGAAAGGCAATGTCAATGCGCTCCACCGGTTACCTTGGTCAATAATCAAAGCGGAGCTCCTATCCTTCCCTTTGTATTCTGTTACCCGCCTTAATCCATTTGAAACTACGGTTTAATTTTAGTATAATCACGATCGCCTCGATAATTCCTGAAAATTGTCCCTAAAGGGTATAATTGTCGAAATCAGTTTTCACCTACATCAGTATTGCTCAGTGTTTTGTGGCTTCAGTCGCTCGTCCTTCCCTCCTCTTCTACCATTTGGGTCCTGGAAATTTATATCAGAAAACGCTAACCATTTAAGCCAGGTCGATCAAGTGACATGTACGAACTGTTGGGCACGTGTGCCAAAAAAATGAAAAGCAACTCGACAAATTATATAGACGCGCATATGCTAATTAAAAATTGAGCAAAGCCACACTAAAGTAGTGACACACCCGTTTGGTCGGCGAATTCGAAATGAAGTTTCGCAAGCCAACTTGAACTGTAAAATCAAGATGGGGGCCAGCCGATCAAGGCAGCAGCTCACCGTTTCAATGAACAACTGGATGCTGTGTGACTGGATAGCTTGGATTTTTACAACGACTTGAAATTGATCATTTTTATTTACCTCACACTCCAATCATTTAGGCAAACTGAGCACCGGCTCGCTCCGCAAAAAGCGTTTTTTTTTCATGTTGTCTTGGATCACATTTAAATTGCGTTGACTCCAGTCTAAAGTTTATTTGAGGTCTCAGCATTACGTCCAAATGAGACTTGAACAGATCCCTTTTTCAGTCTAATTCCGCTGCTTGCTCTTCGGGTAACATGCCACGGATTTATGTAGCAGACAATTGTTTCAAGACTCACTAGTACTACGACGAGTCTATTGCAGACTGGCGCCCTCCCCATTAATCACCACAAGATAAAGGTGTCTGCTGGCCAATTTTGCGTGGCGAGCACACTGTCACAATCCGTCCCGTATACCTCACCGAAATTGAAATCTTTATTCCCGAAAATCTTCTCAGGTTGGCGATCGTGATTGTTACAGTAAATAAACTCATCTCAAAAAGTGCATTCAGGCGTGTCTGGCAAACATCAAATGTGCCGATTTCATCGCATTTCTGCTGGTAGGCAGTGAGAGTTGTCAAAATTCACATGTTCTTACGTGCCCGTGAGTAAATACATATTGGTGCCAAGATGTCTAGTAAGAGTGCAACCTGCATTTATTTGCTCTTTCAGGAAACAAGTTCAGTAAGCAAAAGTCTGCTACGACCGAGTTCAGTCGGTGAGTATTAAACTACTTATACTCTCATTCCAATCACCATTCTGTATCTCAGTAAAATGGCATTATCCTGCCTTGATGTTTGCAGAAAAAAAGGTAATCCACACTTTTTTGACAGATATTCCAATCGAGCTCAAGGAAAACGGAAATGAAAGGTATTCAGCCCCTCCAACACTGGGCAATGAAGTTCACACTTCCAAACCAACGTGAGCTTTGTATTGACTACTGTTAATTTTTAACTTTTATTAATTTTGGTTTAACTTATCGGGAAAGTTGATAGTGTCTCCATACCAGGCCTCAGGAATCCACTTGACTTGAACTTATGTGTTCGGTGTCAGACAAAGTGTGCAGGTGGATCAAATTTTCATTAATTCCCCAAGGTGAATGCACCATCGCGTTTGCATAATGAAAAAAGTCACAAATTACAACCATCCGAACTGGATCTCTTCTATTCATATCATGAATCTAAAGCCTGAGTACATCCAGGGATACTTCCCTCGAATCATTACTTGAAAAAAAAATACACAAGACAACTATTCAATCCATGTTTATTGTGAAGTTGACCACTGAATAGCGGATTAAACAGTGTATTTAGCTTGCAGTGATGATCCCATTATTTATGTCTTCGTACTGTTGGTATCTCAATGACTAACAGGGAGGGAGCAGTACTTTCAGGAGGGGAATTTTGCATTACTGCATACGTTTGTTCAAGAGTGTTGAGTTATTAAAGGTCACCTTAGATACCTGGTTCCCCTTCTGCTGTTTTTGTTACTGGGGCTCCCGATTTTACACATGTCATTTACAATTGATGGCCCAAAGTGTCCTAAAATGTGTTCCCCCTTTCTCATGCGTGCCGTTTGAACCGATGACTCTAAAACGTCCTCATTTACTCAAATTGGATCAGTAGCGTGTAACAAACGTTTGTCGAGGACGAAATATGACACCTTCTAGGAGAACAGCTACTACTTTTGGCGTGTTCAGACAGTCAAACAGCCTTATTTGCAATGGTGTAGTATATTCTAGATCAGGCTTCAATTACACAAACACACTT